ATCGTTTTTAAAAAAAATATGAAGTGTAGGTTGTTAAGTGGGCAAACATGTTAGATTTGTAAAAAAAATTATTTTTCTTATGTTTATAACGTGTGAATGATACACTAGGTTGAGTGGTAGACCAACAGTCTAGGTCAACATGTTGAATTCCGCTAGATTATCTTGTTATTTAATTTTCTTTCAAATAACTTGAGTAATAAAGACATTATTATTATTATTAAATACGAGATATCACCAGATGTAGATGAGACATCCAAGGATTAAGCTCGTGGTTTAAGGTTATAAACCTTCAAAACTTCAGGCAATATGATACGAGATCCATAAACTTTCACTTAAGGTTCAAGATTCACGGTCGAGAATACGCAATTCAAGTATCAAGATTCGTGATTCCAAATTTGATATTTGAAATTCATCAGCTTTATTTATTTATAAAATTTATTATGTATAAAATTTGGTTCTGATTTTGAATTTCCACATGTACCGCTTCATAGCGAACGTGAACCAAAGAATGTCTGGCGATAACAAGAAACGTATTGCTGAAAGCGAGCGCGGTTGCCATGATCTCTTGTGATCTAAAAGTTTCGTTCCGTTCTGTGTATATAATTGCAGGTCCACTATTCGTTTAAAAGGGTCCGGTAGTCGAGGCCGTTGCGTTCAGAAAGGAAGGCCCGTTTTGGTATTTCTGCAAGTGAAGTCTTTCACTCTTGTTACGATGTCCAAGCTCCAATTTTCACGATCCTAACATTTACTGTGAAGGCTCAAGGGTCAACTTTTTAATCTTGAAAATACGGAAGTCCAAGATCAAACATTTATTCTACTTCAAAATCTGATGATAGGTACCTATGTAGATAGCGGTGATCTGATGCAGATTCAGTCTTTTGTAATTGGGAATTTGCTGAAAGTGCAGGTTCTAAATTGAGTGGGATCTTTAACAGCCGTTTGGGATGGGCGGTAAAAAACACTAACAAATAAATAATTGGACATCGCCATTTTGAGTGATAATCCGCCATTGTGGGCGTTCAAAGTTTTACTCAATAATCAAGAAGGGAGTGGTTTTGGAAAACTTCGAGGCGATCAGTAAGATGCCTTAAAAAGGCATTCGCGTTTTGCCATTGAGAGCGACCAGTTGGGCCCAGATAAAAGAAATTCGCGTTTTTGTCGTTGGTGTGACTAGATTATTCACGTTGTATTGGTTAACCGATTTAAGGTCCAGTTTAAAAAAGTTCCAAATTTACTGAAGTTTCAAAATTCGTGCTATTTTGTGGAAGCGCAAATAATACCTTTGGATATTATCTGAACGTTTCACCTTTGGTGTTAAAAAAGTTAAGTCTGGTTAACCTTCGTGTACTTATCGAGACATTTTTGTACGAGTGGAACGATCAAGTTAAAAATTTAATCCGACGGTCGTATCCTGTAAAAAAGTGTGGTAAAAAGGGCAAATAATTTGGTTTTAAACGAAGAATATGATCATTGTTTCAGTGCATGCAATTACGGTAAAGAATTTCAAGGCGAAGTTATATGTAAACATCATATTTCGTGAAAGAACATTTCGGCATTAATTACAATTAACGAAATTTTACCTTTTGGTAAACGATCAATGAGTTATAAATGTATTACGGTATTCACTCAATTCTGTGCTAGTATAAAAAGTTGCACCCAGTAAAGGAAGTTTCTTAGTCAATAAAATTAATAACAACCCCAACGTTTCGTTATCTTCAAAATTTTACTCGGAATCTACAATGTTAGTGCGATTTTAAGACAGTAGCCGTTCTCAACATTCGATCCAGCCGACATATGATAATCCTAAGGAGTTTTCCATTGTACAACTAAACCAAGTTTTATGGGTCCATCGGCAAATCCATTCCAAGAATTTTTTACTGTAACTTTTTTTAGTAATAAATTCAGAAAAAATTCCTTCCTTGATGTAAGCCTCGACACCGCAACGAACCAAATAACGAAAAAACTAGAATAGCTCTTAAAATAAAGATGTAGTAGCGACACAGCCGTAGAGACTGACAGACGGATGAAAGTGACCACAGTAGCGCATTTTTTAAAGTTTTGTGGAAATGCGCTAAACATATATCCGTCAGCAGTTTTTCAGCCAACTCCTATGAAGGAAACTATTGCTTTGTTCGAATGGGGGAGCCGGGCGCTAGAGACGAGCGGCTAACATAGTAACTGCAGTGACGGTGGGCATACGCTGTACTGTTTTAGTACATTTTGTATACACTTTCTACAAAAACTTTCCAACGTTTAAATACCGCAAAATTGGTATTCACCTTTTCCTTATTCTTAGAAAATTATTTGCGTCGCTAAAACTAACATCAGCATACTTTGGTGATAACACACGCTTATCTTGAAACTAATTAGCTCACGCCACGATAATGGAACTTCATATCGCAATAACCGAATAAAAAACATAAAATAAACTTTTACAAATACTACTCAAACAATTCCTAACTGAATAAATTTGACCTATTAAAACATAATTTTACCAATACTAAAATAAACAAAACAATTATTTAAACAAAATCAAACATGACATAATTAAGTAATTCTGATACATGAACTCGCATTCAATCAATAATTACCCGACTATTTGGGTTAAACACTATTACTTTAAGATGCACAGGTGCCATTTTTTTTCGATGCTGGACGCAAGTGTTTTCAACCAGAACCTTTGACGATGGTTTGGAAGGGTTCAAGAGAAGATACGGAACCATCAATCAACACTATACTTAGATTGAACGCGTACGTTTTATGAAGAGCACCAAAGTAATTCATCCGGTTGTAAAGATGACAGCATCAGTTTCTAAGTGCGCATTCAACGCAGGTAGCAGTTAATTATCTCGCAAAAGAGTCAATATTACACACCACCTTTGGACAAACAGAGAGCAGAATTTAGCAAAAAGACACAGAGAATAGTCGAGAATGGGTCGCTCTTTACCACGTCAATGAGGGGTGAAGCGCAAATATAGATCACAGAGCATTAGAGAGAGTAGGTACCTAATAAAATACCGAGTGACTTTAGAATGAAACCCTACATGTATCACTAATCCCCAGAGATCTACACAGGGGTTATTTATACTAAATTTTGGTGAACTATTAGATATACAAATGTAAACATTTTCCACACTTTGTTATAACACATATTTCATACAATACTAACAATTCAAGTAACCTTATAAAGATGATGAAGACAAATTCCACGCGTCAAAATATGTTGAATAAATTGTTTAGGCCTTTTCTTGTAAAACTTGAGAACTTCCACAAATGTATGCATGTTTAACGCACTTATATTGAGTTAGAGCAGAAACCGGACAAATGCCACTCTGCGGAAGTACCAATATTTTACTGCACCTACAACTGAAAGTTCGCGAGATTAAAATGTGAAACAATATCAGATTTGATTGGAAACCATCACTTTAGGGTTGATTTAGTACATTAAGGATACAGTTCTCACCACCTACAATACGTAGCTCATAGAGGTTGATGTGACATGGCGGGTTCTATTTGACATATTTTTAATTAGTGAAAGCGAACAATGCCCTCGCCTAAATATTTGAAAGACGCGGAAAAAGAGATTCGCGCTCTTTCCATTTCATACGAACCCAAACGTAGAAAACTGCGAATAAGGTCGCCTATAGTCTCTAAGGGACATATCACTTTGTGTAAAACCTAAAAACCTTTGACACTCTGTAATCAAATTCGGGAATAGCTTTTGCTTTTCGAATAATGGAATTATCATGGGGTGTTTGCAAGAAAATGTAGATAATTAAATTTTAACGCGACAACTTTTTAACGCAGTGAAAGTAACGTTATTTACGTACAAAAATTAAAATCTCGATAATTTCTCTTTATTTAATGCTAAAAATGGTGCTCTCATAATTTATAATAGACAACAAAAACCGTAACACTCGATTGAAATTTTTTATGAAGTAACTGTTTGTTGCACTTGTTATAGGTACTATCGGTTCAACATTTGCATGAAGTGGTGTGTCGGCCGGTAATCGCAAATAAATAAATTCCGCGGAATGCGCTAATATTAAGAACTGAATGTCACCATAAACCGGAAAATCTCCATTTATTAATGGTCACCCAAAAGTACAGTGTATTGTTTTAAAATTGCTGCGCATTGGTCTCTTTTCCTTGCGTTTGTTTAATAATAAAGCTTTAGATTAATTGAACGAGAATCTAAGAGTTTCATGAGCTATTCAGAATCGCATAACACTATGTGCACTCTATTTGGAAGAGGTTAGCACTCAGTGCGGTATATCAAACGCAGCTACAGGCTGATATCTTGATATCCGATTTGAGGAGGGAGACAATAATGTACCAATTTACATTTTATTCGCATGCGTTTGTGCGAATTATCAGTGGAACGAACTGAATTGCGTATATTTACAAGCGTCTTAATGATACGCTTAATTGTTGATTTTGAGTTTCGAGTGTAAAATTTAATTAACTGGCCGTAAAGAAATTTTTGGAGTGGAAAAAAAGCATCGACAATTGTGTAAAACCGTATTTAATAGTGCTTTATTTATCAAATGAATTAAACGTTCACAAAACAAATACGTAGGTACAATACGTTACTACGCTAATTCAATAATTCTCGATCTTCCATTTTTCCCGCTACTTCTTTTTTTGCTACCCTTGATTAATTCCACGGATTTTCAACATCCTCCCCCGGCCAGGATTTCCAAGGGAAATAGTATGAATTGGCCGTCCAAAACGGTCTGGTCGGGCAGTTTTCACTTCACCAGGCTCTAACTCTTCCATCACGTCCATGAAAATAATTCATTATTCGGACTAACTTCAAAGTAGTCTTGGGTACGTTATCGTCATGTAGCAAAGCCACATCTCCAAACTTCTTCTTTTAGACTGAACTTGATGTTGATTATGGAACAGTGTGATTGTTGCAAATAGTTATTTGACCAACCTTCCAAAATTTCTTGCGTTAACTTGTTACGATTTTTCCATTTGCAAAAATTTGGTTTCTTTTAATATCCGGATGGTTTGTTGTTGATATGAAATCCACATTCGTTACTACCCAAAAGGAAATGTGCTGGTGTCAAAAACATTAAATTTTCGGGCTGATCATCCAAGTAGGTAAGCGGTCTCATATTCACCGTAGCTTCAATTTCTGAAATGATGGTTTGTAGTTCGTCACAATCAAGGGATTTCTTTCCAAGTGACAATTTTAGAGCATCTTTTACAGTTTTGACCATTCGTTCCCAAAATCCGCCCCACCACGCGGCGCGCTCCACAATAAATCTCCATTCAATGCAACGTCCTGTGACAAAATTTTGAAATTTATCGGTGCAAATTATTTTGTATAATTCTTTCAATTCTAAAGCTGTTCTCTTAAATGTTTTCGCGTTGTCTGAATAAATGATATCCGGAACTCCCCTTCTTGAAATGAACCGTCTAAATGCGTTAATACAGCTCTCTGCTGTTAGATTAGGAACTATTTCAAGATGTACGGCACGTACCACAGCACACGTTAACAGCATGATGTAAGCCTTTTGCCGCCTCGATTCGTTGATAATGTATAGAGGTCCAGCGAAATCTAGGCCCGTTACCTTAAATGGTTCTGCTGAAGACACCCTACTTCTTGGTAAGGGTGCAAAAGGTTCATTGCCAGGTTTTGCTCGTAATCTCTTGCAAATTATGCATTTGCTCAGTATAGATTTTACTCTTTGCCTGCATTGTAAAATCCAAAATCGTTTTCTTATATGTACCATCGTCACGTTTACTCCACCATGCATTGTGGAAACATGAGAGTTCGAAATAAGTTTATCCGTTAGAAATGACGTTTTAGGTAACACCACAGGATATTTCGTTTGGTACGGTAAGGAGCTTTCCTGTAAACGGCCTCCTAATCTCATTATATCGTCTTCATCAAGAAAGGGACTTAGCGTTAAAACTCGAGAAGAGGGTTCAATTTTTTTACCTCTTCTTAGGTCAGCTATTTCACTTGAAAAATGCTGTCCTTGAGTTACCTTTATCCAATATCTTTCAGCCTCCTTTAACTCTTGAGCCTTCAAGCTTCCAGTTCTTTTGTTCTTTTTATTTCTTAGATTATGGGAATATCTTTTAACATAAGCGGTAATGCTAAAGATTTTCTCCAAACTACTGAATCTCTCAAGTTTGAAGATTGGTTCGTTATTCTGGATTACTTCTTCTCCTTGTACGAGCAAAACAGATGCTTCAGATCCTATCGCGATATCTTCTTCAGGCCATTCTTCTGGTTTAAATTTCAGCCAATTAGGTCCATGTTTCCAAACTTCCGATGTCATAAGACCTTTAGATGTCACACCCCTCGTTAGTAAATCTGCTGGATTCTCTGCCCCTGGACAATGGCGCCATACTCCAACTGAGTTCTTCTTAATTTCAGTTACACGACTGCGAACATACGGTTTCCACCTGTCAGCTTTGCCCATGATCCAATATATCGTTATTTTCGAATCTGTCCACAAAGTGCAGGAATGAAATTTAACGTCAATATTTTCAAGTATAAATTTCTGAAGTCGAGTTGCACAGACTGCCGCGGTGAGTTCCAGTTTTGGTAACGTTAAGCTCTTATCTCCCTTTTTATCAATTGGAGCTACTCTACCCTTAGACATGATAAAGTTACATTC